GGAAGAGGAGGAGGAGGAAGAGGTAGTTCCCGTTGCTCCAGCGGGTCGGTCCACTGTGCTGTATGTGTATGTGTGGGGGGGGGGCAATCAATAATAAACACAGACAGGTTATTATTATTAATAATAATAATTAATAACGGATAAATAAATCAATACATTTATATCTCTATATATAGAAAGAGATATAGAGATATAAATAAAAATACATTTAGATATATAGATATGATATTTTCTGCCACTAGATGTCGCACTAGAGCACCAGACTCCATTCAAAAAACAATCATTTTAAAACCTCATCAAACCGTTTTTGTTCATTAATCTTTAATTTACTGAGTTAGATGTGAAAATATTTGTTAAAAGAGCTGCGACGTTAATGCTAACATCTGACAGACTCCGATTGTGTCCATTATGGAAACATTAACATCAACTGTAATAGTTTTATTATAAAGCAGTAAGAGAAACACATGTGACCTCTGCCCCGTTCTCCTGTTTACACTTTATACAACTGTATTAATTTATGAGCTTCAGTTAATCTACAGATTCAGATTTTACATGAAAAATGTGATCAGTTAATCAAATAATAAGATTGTGATGATTTGTGATCGCTCACATTTAATTAATCCAACGATTGACAAAACAAAAACAAAGTCCAAAAAATGAATTTAGATTTCAGATCTCAGATTTATGCTGTGGCCCTCTGGAGGGGCCCGACCCTTATGTTGGGAACCAGTGCACTGAACTACAGCTAGAAGAAGAAACTACTGATTGGTTTAGTTATTGATTCCTCAGCTGAAACTAATCAGATCCGTTTATCAATAGTTTATTAATGAATTAATTAATATCAATTCTTCAACAAAACTTTATTCAACCAGTAAGTTTTCACAAAGTTGGTAAAAAGAACAATATCGCTCTAAAGTCGCTTAAATTTAAACTCGAATAAATCAGTTTAACTCGTTTATTGTTTGTGCTGCAGCGAATATAAAAACACAACAACAAACAAACAAACAATGAACATTAATTCATTTAAGCTCCAATATTATCAGTAAACAACTGACTCTTTATAAACGTGCTTCTCTTCAGTCTGAATATTTATAACATTTTAAACAAAAAGCAGCTTTAATATTAATAATTTAATTTATAGAAAAACTAATCGAGTCGATGAACAGTTTGACCTCCTTTAACTTTTTATCTGTAAATTAGTAAATGTATGAACGTGAATTTTCTAATAAAATAAAAAGAATAGTAATTTAACAGAATCATAAATATTTTATTGATCAAATGTTTGATTATAGAAAAAAAATACATACAAAAATAGAAATAATAGAGTCTGAAGTATGTGCATTTTAATACAATATATAGAAGATATAAATATAGTTTCTTTATTTATTATAATAAAGACAACGTATATTTACTAAAAGGAACAAAATAAGTAAAAAGAAGAATTTGTTTTTAAGTGCTGGCCCTTTAAGGGATGTGACGTCACTGTCGGGTCAAAGTTGAGCACAGAGGAAAAATCAAGATGGTTCACTCTGTTCAACATTAAACTGCTGAGAGAAATCTGTCAGAACTATCAGTGTTTAATGTATCTAACACAAGATAACAACAACAACAACAACAACAACAACAATGATACATTTGAAAGATTTTCGACATTCTTTGCAGCACAATTAGCAGCTCTCTCTGTTAATATTAATATTATATTTGTTTGTCTGTTGGTACAAAATTAAAATATATCGAAGTCAATTTCTGCCAAAGTGACCAAAAAGAAAGGATTCTGTAGTTATTATAATAATGACTTAATATCTGTAAAT